TCATAATATTTATTATTTTAATTTTTTTAATCAGAATATTACTAAGTTGGTAATTTATTTCAGTTTCTTTTTTCCTTTATCATTCCAAAACAACTGGTCTTATCTCGCCTTACAGAAGAGCTGGAATACTTATAGTTCTTTTAAGACCGTCTGTTTTTGTACGAGGTTTCAGTTGCGCATTACATTTAATTTTAGTCTGAACACTATACAAAACTTTCATAAGCCTGTAGTTTATTGTTAATTATTTAAAAATATTTTAGTATTCTATATTAACGTCACGGTTGAAATTCATCCACAAGAGTATGGCTGTACGGAGAGCAAGTCACGCTGGAAGCTGGTACGCCGAATCAGGTACATGTTTGTTCGTTTATTTGGGGACGGATTGATTAGTCCGATGGCTACGAATTACAGGATTTATATTTTTTACTTTCCAGCCAAGGAGCTCAATAATCAGTTGGAAAATTGGTTGGGGGCCGCCGATCTCACACATGGACCTGCCAGAGCTATAATAGCTCCGTAAGTATTTTGTTCGGTAGTAGTTGATACTTTCGTATGAACCTATGTTAATTTACGTTTTTACAGTCATGCCGGTTACCAGTATTGCGGTGCTTGCGCTGCATTCGCATACCGCCAGATTAGTCCGTTTGTTGTGTAAGTTTCTTTGATTCCCAAATATTTCCATAATAACTCTATTTGTTTTTAGGCAACGCATTTTCATACTAGGACCATCACACAATGTCCGTCTGTCTGGGTGTGCCTTGTCAACTGCTGATAAGTATAGAACACCATTTTATGATTTACAAATCGACAATCAGGGTAAGCGTTTATGATTCATTTAACAAACACAATTGAGTCACAATGTATGGTTCTATTTAAATTTAGTATATGACGAGTTAGAGTCTACTGGTAAGTTTGAACGAATGAGTATGAAAGTGGATGAAGACGAACATAGTATAGAAATGCAACTGCCATACATCGCCAAAGTGATGCAGGAGTAATTATATTATTTTAAACTATTTAAAATATCAATGTGTATTCTTATTTTGTTTATGTTCTAGCTACAAAAATAAATTTACTATTGTGCCTATTATGGTTGGATCGTTGAGTACTGAAAAAGAAAATCTTTATGGACAAATATTTGCTCCATATTTAGCTGATCCAAAGAATCTATTTATTATATCTTCAGACTTTTGTCATTGGGGACAAAGGTTTCGTTACACGTTCTATGAAAAGTCTTGGGGTCCAATTCATCAGTCAATTAAAACTTTGGATCATAAGGTACAACATAATATTTTGTGTATGATGGTTATTTTTGTATATTTTTCTGAGGCTTTGAACTAGAACTAATGTTTTCTAGCAATGAAAATATTTAAATTATCATTAATTTTCTTGTGGAGATCAGTAGAAAAAAATATATAGTAGGTATTTAATTAAGTTGTTATACACTTATCAATAACCATAGGCTTGTAAGGATCTTCTACTGGGGTGGTGCCCCATTAAAAACATTTTGGAATGGGTGAGTGGCTCAGTGCTCGGTTATTACTTTGCTGCATAATTAATGTCAAAGTAGATATAATGAAAATTGAGTAAAGACTGAATAATTTTTTACTAAATGGGTGGTTTAAATGAGTCCGTCTTGGTAAAATGTAAATGTTCAAACCGCTACTGTCTAAACTGTAATACTTATAATCAGGGTTGGGATTTTATAGCATTTGCATATTTCTTATTAGATGCTTAAAAAATAGTAGAGTAAGCCAACAATTTGTTTCATGATACAGAGAACTTAAATAAAAAAATTTTTTGGATAGCCGATTATTAAAGAACAAGTGTAGAATTCGCTTTATACAGTCCACATTCGTCTCGTGTGCTCGTATAAAATAATTAAATAATAAATTTCCTTTTTTTTGTTTTTTTTATTGTATATTTTTAGAGCTTATTTAGCGATTTTTAAGGTAATATTATAGCACATATTTATGCAATTTTAAGTGCTATAAAATTCCAATCCTGCTTATAATGCATGCTGTTTATAATATATTTAAAAACCAAGTGCTAAATACTGTAAATACTTACTAAATACTCAATTTAAGAAACAATAAAGTATTCTTAACAGTTTTCTTGCTATTAAAGAATAAAATAGCATTAATAAGATATGGACTTGTTGGGTGTTTAAATTTAAATTATTCTTGTTCAACATTTACTATAGTTAGGTAATTAGTCATTTATATTGTTTAATGTGTTTATAATATAAAATTAATGTTACAAGAAAAATAATTTATTTTTTTACTTTGAACATAAATTTTAAACCCCCTCCCCTTAGGTACAACCAAGAATATCTTTGTGGATCACAGTTTGAGAAATACTATTCTAGAGTATGAAAGTATTCATTTAAATATTTATGAAAATTATATTGGATTAATATGATTAATAAAACAAATACCCAATTAAAGATTATTTTGGTAATGTTTAACATGACTAATATATATATTTGAAATTTGGTACATTTGATCTATTGATTTTAAGTTATAACATAAATGTTGCTGAAAACATATATAACCTCAAAAATACTTGTAAATAAAAAAAATTTTAGCATTGGTTTTTGTGATAAAGTCTATTGCCATAAAGCAATACTAGGAATTTATAATAACTTATTTCATAAAAACTATAAATGAATTTTATACTATTGTCTAAGTTTCTACTAGGTAACATAAAGCACTAATGAGTTAATGCAGTTTTAAGTTATATGAACCTCTTGTTTTTTAGTTTATTTTATTATAATTATATACTTTATATATTGTAGAAATTGCAATTGGTTTAGTCAATCTTTAAAATAATATTATTTAATTAAGAAAACCAGAAAATAAAATTATTAATAGTAATTAGTGTATATTTTATTGTTTTTTAAGGGCATGGATATTATAGAAACTCTAGAACCAGCAGCGTTTGTTGAATACTTAAAAACTTTTTCAAACACTATCTGTGGTAGACATCCCATCAGTGTTTTATTGCAAGTAAGAAAATTACAATAGTAAATCAATTTATGTAAATTATTATTCAAGGTGAACATTGATAATGCATAATATTCTTTTAATAGGCGGCTAAGCAATTGCGTACTCAAAAATTGTCGCTCAAGTTTTTAAAGTACGCCCAATCTGGCCAATGTTACCATTTGGGAGATTCATCAGTTAGTTATGCATCTGCATCTCTCATAGTTGAATAGCAAAACAGTACTTCAAAGTGAATCTTTTTTAATTCACATTTTTTTAAAATTAAGTTAATATGTTTAGAAAAAATATACTTAGTATGTTAAGATTGAAAACCAAAATGGTAGTAAGTTTAAATATTGTTTATATTATAAAACTTTTAATTTTTTTTTTTTTTTTAATAAAAAAACATTATTTTTTTTAAAAATATATTGTAAAATTAATAAAAACATGGGAAAAAAACATCATGACTGATCATTAAAAACAATAAGATAAAAATATTACTTTTGTTGACTTAATTAAAAGTATTTTAGTTAATGGATTCAATCCCTCGTTCAGTAACTACAAAAGGAACTCTTTTTGAAGCCGTATGGGGGCTGAATATCACTTCTATGAATCTGGAACATGGTGTTTTGGACATCATAAGTCTAGTAGTCACCAAATTGGCCCACGAAAGGCCCAATGATGGTACTAAATTCTTTCCTTCAATATCAAACATTGATGATGTTACCTATACACACAATCACAATATTATGCTATTAACAGTAGCTAGTAAAATTATGAGAATATTTTAAAATTTACCTGATTAACACATATGATCCACAATCCATATTCAACTGATAGCTTGTGTAGATAACATGCTACATCTCTGAGATCTCTTGACCTGCGAGGAGCATTACTCAAGGTGTATTCACCACGAAATACAGCTGTGATGCTGTCAATAATTATGAGTTTTAAAGGTCTATGTTGGAGTGCTTTTGGAAGCATCTCGTGGATGCATTTTTTTAAGTCTTCCTAAACATACAAAATACATTTTGTATAACCAAAAAGAAAATTGTTTAAATATATGCACAATAATTTACCACAGTTGCTACATGAGTAATCAGAATATTGTCTCCATAGTCCGTTTGACATAGTTCATTCATATCATTGTTGTTATCACATTGATATTTAAAACGAATATTGGATATCATTTGTTGCATTCTACTTGAAGGAAATCTATCTTCGGTACAAATATATGCAACTCCTAAATTAAAATAAACCATTTGTTTTAAATGTTTTACTACAACTGATAAATTATTACTGTTTTTTACCAGATTTTGCTCCTTTAAGTGGTAATGGTAATTGAACAGTGAGTGCAATCTGTAAGCAAAATTGTGTTTTTCCACAGCCACTTTCACCTGAGATCTCTGTGATACCACATTTGAATAAGCCTCCACCTAAAGCTTTATCAATTTTTTTACAGCCAGTAGTAATAACTTGATTTGTAACTTCTTTATCACGACTAATACAATTTGAATAACCCATTCAATAATAAGTATACGGCATTAGAAATGTGATCATTCAAAATAAAATTTACTTGACGTTTGCAGTGCTTATTTTGGCTGCTTCGATAAAAACATGACGAGCAGCCGCTGCTGTCAAATTGACTTTTTTTCTAAATTGAGTCTCTGTATAATTTAAAATATTCTTTGGTACTAAAAAACCACCTGAAAAAAAATAAAACTTATCATTGCTATATGCATTCTTTTAAATATTCATAAAATGTTATATTAAATTATTAGTCAGTAAAAATGAAAGTTTTTAGTTTTATACTGTCCATGTACCTATGGTATTACATTATTGTAGATAGGTATATGAATGTATTCATTATAATTTTTTTCTTTCATGAATATTATTAGTTTATAACAAAGAAACAAAATTACCATTTATTCACAATATTCTATTATAGTGAGTACTTTTATTATATCAAAGAAATTTAATTGATAAGAAACCAATAAAGATCAAGATTAAGAAATAAATAATAACCAATTGGTAATCAATAAAATAAAAAACACATTTTTCTTTCATTTTAATACAATGTCAAAATGATAAAAAAAAACGTAGTTGTAAATAAATAATAAGTTTAAAACTAATAGCAAAATATTATGAAAGTGAACATCATAAATTAAAATTTTATTTAAGGAATGACATTACTTTTATAGTATTAAATAATAAATGCGTTTATATGGGTGCACAACGGTATTTTTTATCTTTTCTTGACAAAGCAATAATTGTAATGCTCTTATTACTCCTTATTCAATAATTCCTAATGGTTTATATTTTATTTTTACCCATGCTCTTAAAACAGTGGTTCATTCAACTTCTGATAAACAATTAACATTGGAGACTGTGGAGATGGAACTATTGATACCAAACTAACAATATTCTTTTAAATAGTATGAAAAAAAATTAATTTACATTATATCGAACAAAAAAATAACAGTAGTAATCAATCATAGATGATTTTTCAAAGTTAAAATTTTTAAATTGTTCAAGAAGCGCATTTGTTCACCTTTTCACTCTTGTAAGAATGTTTACCATCATTTTATTATTCAAAGCAATTCACATCTATGATAACAATGAAATAAATGTATTGAATAATTTTATACATTATAATCTTACAGCGCAATTAATAATTATTTACCATTAAAACATAACTATAATATACGGATTAGAAACACGTGCTATACAATTTATGTTTTAAACAGGAAAACTAATGCATGGACAATGTGAAATACACTATTCAAAAATTAAATATAGCTAATTTAGGATAGAACAAGTCTAAAGTCTATTGTAATGCAAAACCTCAACGCGCAATATTAGGTCTTTAATCAATATATGTTCAAAGTTTAACGTAATTTTGGTGAGTTGAATGAATCGACTGCATATTACTGATGCAATCTACGTTTATTCAGAAAACGTGTTAAACCCGTGTAGCCGGATTACGTAATAAAACGCGTACGTCACGTTTCGAGAGGAAACGTTGGCGGGAAAACGAACAAAATAAATATGATATCGACTTATTACCTCGGATCAAGGCGGCCTGCGTGTGCGGGTCGAACACGGTCAGGTCCAGGTCTACGTTGTCCGCAGGTGACGAGTTCATTTCGGGCAACGAGCGTACGGGCACATGTCATAATCCCGCAATATCCGTCGGCTAAGATAACAACACTCCGTCGTCCAACGAGTAGACTGAGGGACGCTGGACGGCGTTCGTCCTCGGCATGGGAAACGCGCGTGTGACGAGAACGCCCGGGGCAAGGGGGTATTAGTCACGCGCGGATGATAACTGATAACTGCACGATCACCACTCTTCCGCTACTGAGTTAATAACCGCGGTCGGGCAGATCCAGTGAGAACTGCGCATAATAAACCGATTCAGTGCCGTTGCTAGCTTTTGCGAGGTTCTAACGTTAAACGGTTTTCGTGCACCTAACTATTCTAACTATGGGCCTCCGAGAATTTATTTTAAAGTCCGAGGTAGTTGCCCAAGTTGCTTGCCCGACTGACGACGGCACTGTACCAATATGTTATCGTGTAATAGTTTATGGAAATATAGAGGTCACTTCAATTAGAGTCAACTTCATTCCACCGGACGGTTGACGGCACGCTGCTGGTGGTGGTGGTGCGAACGGATTAATGATGAGAAATCGAAATATTTTATTGGAAATCATAGACCTATTAACTAACTGGTCTATAGAACAAATAAAATAATTATTCGCAATTATTATTACGACGACCGCAACACAGTATTGGGCCCAAGGTCGCACGCGCACGCAAGACGCTATTTAACGGCGACCATGCGGGCATCCAATATTTTTCCTACCTCTTTCCCATCACCCATGCCGTAAAAAAAAATGTCTACTCCCTCCCTGGCACCTGTTCAAATGCGGGACCCCCACCGCGTAAACACACGGAATTGCATTAATACTTTTTATAGTCATCATGCTATCACGTTATCTTATTCACCGTAATTATTATTATTATTATCATTATTGCTCGTAAGCCGTTTCCCTCAGACCGTAGTTGTCGACTCACGCGCGCATGATTCGATTTTGCCGGTGGCTACGGCGACGAAATTTTCGACCGCGCACCTAACCCGTGGTGGTACAATCACACGTACCGCGTCACGTTGCCGATCCAGTTCGACGTGTCCAAGTGAACATCGTTACCTATCACCTATCGCCAGACACGATCTCGATACCGTTGTGCGAGCACAGACCCGTTGGCAGTGTGAAAAGAACGTAAAAAATACCTACGCGAATCTCCCGTTCTCACGGACTTTCTCTAACTGTGGCCGCCGCACACGTTTTCCACTTTAGCAACCGTTTGGAGGGGTGACCACCAGTCTTCCGCGAGCTGTCAAATGGGCTCGATCGCATCCAAGAGCACTGCTGAAGGTAAGTCGTGTTCTTCTGCCGGGGTTTCTCCAGAGACCACCGGAATTTATTCGATCGGGAAAAATGGCTACGCTGCTACCGCTGCTGCTGTTGCCTCCGCTGCCGCCCTCGTTTTTCCCGTTTACTCGACAGCGCTTAAGCTTTTTTTCACTTCCAAGGAGGGCCACACAGACCGGCAATAATCGTTTTTCCGAAACGGACTCGTCCCCTTAACGCTAATAGTATAACCGTTTCAGTGTCTCCTAGCAGCTCCGACCCGTTGATACTTTCCGCGCGTAGAGCGATCAAAAGCTCTCCTTTTTTTTCGACTATTTCTATTCTCGTCGCATCATCACATCTGTTCCTCCCGTACAATAAGTGTTATTAAGTACGATTTGTACGTTTGAGTGTACATGTCGTGTAATTTATTCAAAACTCGATTGCAGGACTAAAGAGTTTCATAAATACCCATGACAAAAATCATTATTTTAAACCTTGGGAAATTATATTTATAAATCAATTAATGGTTTGCTGCATATGCTAATATTATGTCATTATTTGATTTATTACATTTATTACACACATAATTATAAAAATAATCGAACATTAAAGTTCGGAAGTAATCGTGAGTTTTGTATAAATTAACAGAGTGCCTTTTGTTGTTTTAAACGTAGGTCAAATTATGATTGTTCACAAACGTAATTCACAAATTATACTTCCATAATATATTCAAAATATTTTTATGTTACTGCATAAATATTTACAAATGTATGTTATGATTTATCAATAAACTCCTTTTTTAATACTATCAAATAATTATACAATTACATTTTAAATGATAATTTCAATTTATTAAATTCTATAGTTATTGACCTTTAACGTAGATACCATATCACAGGTATTATTTTCGCATGGTAAACTGGTACCTAAGATAAAGAATGATTCATTAATTAATTTTATATTTTTTGGAGTTATCTGATAATTATATCATACTTGTAGTAGGTAATAATTTTATTAGTATAATTATTCATGTATAATATATAGCTATTAGGATTCCTATTATCGAATGTTTCATTACAAACCAACTCTGTTCTTTAATTGGATTTCAAGCTACAGAAGCATAATGTTTACATAGATAATCAAAGCTCTTGCATTTATTAATTTGATTCAATAACAAAAGACAAAAAATGTATTGTTCACGCTGTCACCATTCCCTGTGTTGTCAGACTGTATCAGCCAGTTTTCATTCTAAATAAATTTCACTAGAAGTGTTATCTCCTTGTGTCTCCCCTTAATGAACGGGAATAGTGCTATATGTGTGTTAATATATGTATAAGTAAATATATCACATGATCTCCCAATTACCCGCTTGTAATAGTAAATTATTTAGACTTCAGTGTTATTTGAATGATTATTTAATGTATATTAAGTTAAAATATTTGTCTTGATTATAGTTGATAGTTAAATATTTGTAAAGCAAAGTATACATTTATTTACCCATTATTTTTCACAAATTAAATACTTAAAAATATGTACCTTCATGTAATTGATTATAATGACTAATAAGTAATGACATATCATTAAATAATAATAAAACCCACAATAAAACTAAATGTTGTCACAATATCTACATAGATGGAATAAAATTAAAATAATAAATAATTATTAAATTTAACTGTCTACTAAATAATTTTATTTGTATAGTCATAGATTTTTGCATGATTTAATCCTGTGAATATGATGAATAAGGTTATTTGTTTTATTCTTTCATATCTTTATTTAAATTTAATGTTTATTTTACTTTAAATATAAATAATTTATATACCTAATTTCTTATTTATCATTTTTTTTTAAATATCTTAGATATTTTATTCAACTATGATTTAATTTTTTATTTTATCTTTATTATTTTATACTTAACAATTTCAGTAAATATTGATTTGTAAGTTTATTTTCATGAAACACATTTCTTAAAACTGATCAGCCAAGAATAAAACTATTTTGATGCATGATTTATTATTATATATTTGCATTTGATATACTCACCAATCCAAGTACGATGCTAGCAACCTTCAATACTGCTATTTTGTCCAACTACAACATCAAAACCATTAAAGAACTAGCTACCACATACTACAAAAAATTCCACACCAAACTCAATTTTCACACAAATCTCTTTAAAAAAAATATGTCCTCCCACACCTTATGTGATAATTGAAAAAGTATTAAGTTTATAATAGTGATTAGTTTATTTACTATTTAGTTAAATTAAAAAAAAAAAATGTCATATTTAATATTATGATAATGAAAAGAATATTATATATTTAGAAAAACTAAAATGACTATATACTCTACAGATACTACATTTTGTGAATGCTTGATTTTATACATATTTTTTTTTTTATTATTTTAATATTTTATGACTAGAATTAGCTGATAACAACTAAATAAGTTGTAGTTTATTTATGATCACAATTAATTAATTTCAATAATAATAAACAATTTTCATAAATCCAAAACCAAATTTTTCTACAACTAAATTTTTTTCTTATAAAATTAAAATTATATAGAAATATTTATATTAATTTGTAGCTGTATGAATCTAATTTATAAATGTATACCAAAAGTCTGTTTTAATTTTTGTTTTGTATAATTATCTATATTCAATTTTAACAAAATAGTCTGTATTAATAAGTCACATCATAATTTTTATAAACTATATATTATTTCAATAAAATTTTTCATAAATACATACTCATGTATGTATTTAATATATTAAGATTACATAATAATGTGATATTGCATTATGTAAAGGTCATTAGGGAAACAGTATCAACTTTTTTTCAATATGTACTTATCTAATACTATCAGTTATATAAATATTAAATTTATCAAATTATTTGTTTTAATCAGCATTAAAAGTAATTTTTTTGTTTCATATTTTTTATATTCACGTTTTAAGTTTTAATTTTTTTTTTTATTATTATTAGAATATTTACAACCTATGCTACAATAAGGCACAATAAGCAAATTTGAACACACAATTTTTTTTTTTTTTTTAACAACATGAACATATGAGGAGGGAGGCCATCCAGTGATAGAACCCAATGTTATTTTAATTATTTATTAATTATTGACTTAATATTAATTAAATTAAAATTAAATGGTATGAACCATCAATCATTTAATAAATCACGACACCAATTTCTCTTTAAACGGCGTGGGGGGTTACTAGGAAGTGAGTTGGAAGCAAGTTCAGCGAGTTTAGAGTGACATTTTTTATAATGTTTTGTGGCTAATTGATTTAGTGTTTCTATTTTGAAGTCATTTTGGAGTGTGGAATTTGATACGTACCAAGGTGCGGAAGAGATAATTCGGAGAGTGATACATTGGAAGGCTTGGAGGGTACGTATTTGAGATGGTTTAGCGCATCCCCAGATTTGGTTAGCATAAGCCCAAATAGGCCGTAATAAGGATTTGTAGATGATTATTTTTGTGTGAAAGGGTAATTTTGATTTCAGAATTGGGCGAAGTAAGTTGAGTCGACTATTGAGAATTTTTCTTTTTGACTTGATATGAGGACCCCAGGTCAGTCTTTTGTCAATTAGGATGCCGAGGTATTTTACTTCTAAGGATATTGGGATTTGTATTCCTTGAAAATAGAGGGGAAGGGGTATGGACTTTTTTAGTGTAAATGGAACATAAATTGATTTGTCAGGATTAATTTTGATTTTTCAGTTAGATGACCATTTGTCTATTAAGTCTAAAAGTGTTTGTAAAAAATGTACAGTTTCTACAGGATAATTATCAGGTGAGAGAATTGCAGTGTCGTCAGCATAGGTGGCCATAACAGTATTTGGGGTTTTAGGAATATCAGCTGTGTAAACATTAAATAAATCGGGAGAAAGGTCACTACCTTGGAGAATTCCTGCTTTAATTGGGTAGAATGATGAGACAGAGTTACCATACCGGACTGTGTAAGTACGGTTTTCTAAATATGAACATATTATCAAAAAGTACGGGGCAGGTAAGAACATTTTTAATTTAAAGAGTAGACCCTTGTGCCATACCCTGTCAAACGCCTGGGCTACATCTAAAAACACTCCTGGGCAATATTGCTTTTTTTCAAATGAAGATGAAATTTGATCAGTTAGTCTGTGAATTTGGTGTACAGTGGAGTGACCCGTTCTGAAGCCAAAATGGGAATGTGGAATTATGTTGAAGGTTTGGAGTATTGGTCTTATTCTTAATCTTATGATTTTTTCAAATAATTTGGCAAGAGTTGGCAGTAAGCTTATAGGTCTATAAGACGTGATTTCAATCTTGGGTTTGTCGGGCTTAGGAATAACAATTATTGTTGATAATTTCCATATCGATGGAATGTAAGAAATCCGTAACATAGAATTAAATATGTAAGTTATAAGGATGATTGTCTTTTTCGGTAGATTATTTAGAATTTTGTTGGTAATAAGATCATAACTGGGTGCTTTTTTTTCTTTTAATTTACTTATTTGAAATTTGATTTCACTTGGTGAGATATGTTTTGCTGCAAGTGACATTGGAAGAGAACTGTCTATAAATGAGTTGATTCTTTCAAGGTGTTCAGTACTGGGATGTATATCAGTATGAGGTTTGAAAATGTTAGAGAAATGTTCGCCAAAAAGGTTTGCTTTTTCATCTTCAGAAATAGCCATGGATCTGTTAGGGCCAGTTATTGGCAGCATTTGCTGTTTTATATTAAGTAAGCTTTTTGTGGTTTTCCATAGTGAGCCGTCATTTGTGTTTAGGGATTGATATTTTTTTTCAAAAAACTCTGATTTTTGTTTTGATATTAATTTTTTGATGGTGTTTGTCAAGTGATTAAATATTTGTTTATCAGATGGGTATCGATACTTTTTCCATCTAGAACGAACACGACTTTTATCAAAAATTAAAGTTCTTATATGGATGGGTAAGGTTTGATTATTTGTTTGATTCATATTCCTTGGAGTATATGGGTGTGATGATTTATATATAGCTGATTGTATCGAGGTTGTGAGGACTTGGGCAGCGCTTTCTATGTCAGTTTTTGATTTAAGAGAAATTTTTAAATTGGTGGTATTTTGCTTGATTTCAGCCAACTCATTCCATTTTATTGGACCTTGTGATAAAGAAGGATGTTTTAAAATTTAAATATAAATACATAGGTATAATAAGCATATCAAAGGAACTTTATATAAGTTTTATACTTTTTACATATTGTCTACTTAATATTTATGAATAGGAGAGGATTTTCTGGTTTTTAATATGTTTATGCATCAATACCTAATCGAATAATAATCAGTTTATTAGTTAATAAATTAATGTTGACTCATGGTTATTTTAGAATTCTTAGTAAATATAATATAAAAAAAAAGAAAAGAATAAAAGTATAATAATTATTCTTAAATATTATATGGGATATTATACTGCTGATTAGGTTGCTAGGTATTCAATTTGATATTTAATTATTGGTCAGGGGTATAGTTTAAAAAAATAATACAAAACTATCTAGAATATTATTTGCTTGATTTTATTTCTATTGTTTATTTTATAACCATTGGTTTTTATTTAATTTAAATTGTGTGCATGATTAAATTAACTATCATTAAAGCTATTTTAAAATCATTAGCCATTTTCATAGTAAGTATAAGGTAAAAATCATTGTCACATTATATGTTATACCACCCATGTAATTCATTAGGACTTCCTAATAAAACATACTAATATATTATCATACAGATAATTTTATCATGCTTTGTCATATACATCAATCATAATAAATAAACTTTAAATATATATATGTGTGTGTGTGTGTGTGTGTGTGTGTGTGTATGTGTATATTTATAGACCTACATTATATGCAAACATAATATCATTGATAATTAATATTTAGAATCAATAATAATACTTATATATATATATATATATTAATGAATGTAAAGTATTTAATCATTTGTAACATAATTTTGAATATTTTCCCCAAAATATTCAACTTGTTCATAGTTACACAAACTTGAATTTATTCATTTTTTTTTTTATATGTGCATGGTTTCAGACTGTTAATCCGGTAAATCATACAGGGATTGAATGTTATTTAGTCGGAGACTAGTATTTAGAAGTAGTATACATTCCCAATTACATGTGATTTGCAGAACAATGTCGGGTGTGTGTTTGTTTACATTTATTGTAATTTTATAATTTGCTTGTTGGTATTTCACTTTTATTCAAATATACACATTATATGAATACTTTAAAATCATATTTATTTATATAAATTTATGTTTGTGTATTTAGGTGTTAAAAATTATTTAATATGTTTACAGGTCCCAGTGATGATATTATTGAACAAATTGTATGTAAAGAAAGTGACATTACCAATAATGGGTAAATTAACTATTATTATATTATAAAAAAATACAGATTTTATGTAATTTTATTAAAAATTATTTTTAATTTTTCTTTAAATAACCATAATTACAGAATGCAAGAATTCGAGGTTGGAAATAATGGCAATAAAGTTTTAATTGTAAAACAAAAAAATGAGTTTTATGCTCTGGGTTCAAAGTGTTCACATTATGGTGCACCTTTAGTCAAAGGTGCTCTAGGAGATGGTACAGTAAGATGTCCTTGGCATGGAGCTTGTTTTAATTTGAAAACTGGTAAAATTATTAAATTAACTTTATTATGAAGTAAATTTAATTTTCTTAGTTTTACTATTAGGAGACATTGAGGACTACCCGGGTTTAGACAGTATTCCAAGTTTTAAAGTTACCGTTACCAATGGAAATGTAAAAGTTTCAGTCAAAAAATGTGCACTTGAAAATTCAAAACATGTGAAACCATTAACCAAACGCAATTTAGAAAATAAGTGTACATTTGTTGTTGTTGGATGTGGTAATTGAGTAATTTCTATAAATTATTTTTAACCAAAGAGTAAAATGAAATGTTTTTTGTAGGTCCTGCTGGTACTTGTTGTGCAGAGAAATTGAGACAAGAAGGATTTGATGGTCGTTTAATTATGATCACAAAAGAGAATTATTTACCATATGATCGTACAAAACTCAGTAAAGCTTTGAGTGCAGATGTTAATAGTATATTGTTACGTTCTCAAGAGTTTTACAATGTAAGATGTTTATAAATAATTTAGCTATTGTAGTTAATTTACAACTAATTTTTCACCTTAAAATTATATTTTTAAAACAATATTTTTTACGTTTATCTTTTTTAAGTAAAACTATTAATAATTTTTAAATGTTAAAATAAAATTCACATTTTGAACTGATCAATAACTAGTACTATATATTTTCTATAAATCAACTAATATAATTTCTGTTAAATATTTATAAATAATAAAAAATTTTTATTATTACTTATGTATAATATTTTCTTTCTTTTATTATTAACTAAATAAGTGATGACATTTTTCAGTCAGGAAATGTTGAAGTTTTGACAAAAACTACCATAGAATCTATTGATACAAATAAAAAAATTATTTATCTATCTAACAATGAACCAATTTCATTTGACGCCATGTTTATAGCTAGTGGAATGACGTAACTATTCAACACTTTTTATTATTATTATCATTATTTGAGTATTTTATGTGTTTAGACCACGTTCAACACCTGAAGTTTCTAAGTATGATAATGTCTTTACTCTGCGTACAGTAGATAATGCTAATAAAATCTCTCAAAGCTTGTCTTCTGATTGTCATCTAGTCATAATTGGAACCTCATTTATTGGTATAATTAAAAATTAAAATTAATTTTATTTAAATAATAAATATAGCAAATCATATACATTTTAGGCATGGAAGTGGCTGCAGCAGCTAAAGCTAAAGTAAAATCAGTGCATGTAATTGGCCGCAGTGATGTACCTTTTAAAGAGAGTTTAGGAACAGAAATGGGTGAACGAGTGCAAGAATTGTTTGAATCCAAAGGTGTTGTCTTTCACATGAAAGCAAGTGTCAAAAATTACATTGGATACAATAACCGTCTTTCTGAAATCGAACTGGCTGATGGACAAAAATTAAAGGCAGATGTATGCATCATGGCAACTGGATCTAAGACTAATACTGAGTTTTTGTCTGGTTCTGGTATTACTCTTAATCCTTCCAATGGTACAATTGAAGTCGATGAAGTTAGTTAAATATTATATAGTGTGGCATTTGCAATATTAGTACATTATTTTTTCCATTTAAAGAATTTAGAAACCAATGTAGAAGGAATTTTTTCTGGTGGAGATGTAGCAAACGCTCCAGTATATTCTGCTAACACTAAAGCATCTTTGGGACATTGGCAGCTGGCTACTTATCATGGAAAGATTGCTGCATTACAAATGCTTGGCAAGAAAACTCCCATAAAATCTGTACCCTTTTTTTGGACAGCACTATTTGGCACTAGCATACGTTTTGCCGGTATGTTTTTTTTAAATTTTTTTTTCTGATCTGAGAACTCAATATCTCATTGAATTTATTTTACAGGATATAATCGTGGTTATACTGATGTTATAATTAATGGAGATCTTGAAAACCTTAAAGCAGTTATATACTATTGCAAAGGAAACGATGTAGTTGCAGTAGCAACAGTTGGAAGTGATCCAATTGCTGCTCAATTTGCTGATCTCTTACGAAGTGGCAAAACATTGAACAAAAACCAAGCCATCGATAACAAATGGTTGACCGAGGAAGAAGATGCAGTTATGTGCACCAGACTTTGATTAACTATACTTTGAATCAAAATTATTCTCTTATTATTATTATATTTCTAATATTATTTTGTTAACTAGTAAACATAAGTATATCACATTTATGCACCTAAATGTATTTAAATTTTTTAATCACATTAACTTATTTTATATTTTATTTTCCTTCGTACATTTACAGTTGTTTAAAGTGTACATACAATCTATGTTATAAAAAATCTAATAATTAAATGCTATTAATATTTCTAATAACTTTCCCAGCCATCTGTCGATCTAAGATGCATTAAGTGGTTTTCCATTGGCTTGTGTTTTCCAAATTTATCAGCTTGTAATAATTTCCATTTCCTCATCCATTTTTCAAAGCGACCCTGTTCTTTTGAATGACCAAATGATTCTTCCTACAATTTGCAATCAGTTATTATCATATTTATTGAATATCAACCAAGTGATGCTATATACCTTGGTTAAATAAGGATACCTAAGGTAAAACATATTCTGTTCTTCCCGTTGAAAATCTCTAAGCTTTTTATGAATGTCTAGTCCAGATACTGGTTTAATCAGTCGATGTTTTCTAAAATTAAACAAATTAATTACATAGAATTAGTATTTGAAAATCAATTATATATTTCCATTAAACAATTTTTAAAGAACTAATTTATAACAAACATAAAAAAATTAAAATTAGTTTTATTTTATATTTTATTAAGGTTTTTTTTTTTTTTTTTAATTTATACCATAAAATATTTTGAACATATGATTAGCACTGGTTAAAAAAATCAAATTTTACCTAATGTACCATGACTAATTTGATTGATATACATTCTTAACTGATACCACTCATTTAAATAAAATATTCATTTTTTTTTTTTTTTGTAAACCTCAGTTCAAATGTGAAATATAATTTTCATTACTAAAAATATTTGATCCAATGTATATAACATAACAATTGTTGATAATAGTTCAGTTGCGGTCAAACAGGGGGGGATAGATCCCTCCCATGACCTTTTTTTAAATATTTATAATTCAACCATATTATACATTATATAATATAGGTATTCATCTATTTTCTATTTAAAAAAATAAATATACTGTACTTATTAGTTATTATACAGTCTCTAGGCTCAAATAAAATTAACAGTTCAAACATAAAACACTAAAATATTAATTGAAACAAACTTTTTAGATTTTTATCATTTCCTTTATAGTTTATTTATAAGAATGAATGAAATTTAAATTTAGTACTTAATGCTTAACATAATATATTATATGAATTGTGTAATTATATTATTTTAGAGTTGTCTCAATGGTTAAACCACTATGGTTGTTCATTGTGAGGTTGTCAATAGACAAAGTAGACGAAGTACTGGACGAATTGGCAAAAAAAACCAGAAAAATAGATTTAATAATTAATATAATATAATTTCCATGTTTAAAAATAAAAATTTTAATATACAGTGTTTGTTAAAAAGTCAGCTACATCCCTTCTCATGACAAAATCATTTGACCGCTACTGTAATAGTTATAGTTACATAATATATAGGAATGGAAAAGATAAAAAAATATTTATGATTTGTTGCTCATTAATCAAATGTTTATTGAAGAAGATGAAGTATATATACATATATATGAAATAGAACTAAACACTACGGTAAATAGCTTAATGTTTGAAATCTGTAATCAGGGATGGGCGATTGGCGGGCCATGGGCCGCACCTGTCCTTTGAGCTTTCTTTATTTAGCCCATGTTATGTTTGAAAATTACATCATACAATTTTAAAGTTTATCGTCTATGCTCTAACTTATCGATATAATAATTGTTATCTAGTATTAAATTTCATATGTATGTATAAGTATAGCTTTCAACTATAGCTGTTTGTACCGAAATATTTAACTACATTAGTTTCTTCATATCATTTATATTGTGCTGTATATGTGTGTTAAATTTATTATTTCAGTGTATATATAAATGCTAAAATATATATATATATAAATTCTAAAGTTCATATTTTGAAAGCCTTTTATTTTTGTTTTCTATGCTCTGGCCCGCTAAATTTTAATTTTCAAAAAATTGGCCCACTAGTAATTTTGAGTTGTCCATCCCTGTTAAATACCATATTAGTCATAGTATACCTTGATTTTGTAAGAATTTGATATGTTTTGTATTTATTAAATACAATATATTTTTAAAGATATTTCAGTTTCAGATAGGAAAATCAACCAAAGATACATATAACAGTGTATTGACCGTATTGTTTTATACAACTGGAGACAATTAAATTCTTATTTATCAGTCAGGGCTTTAGATAGTAGGTGTTAGGATTAAATATTAAATAATATTATGTTAGGTACAAGAGTTTATATTGGTTGACCAACCAATACTATTCCATAATATTATAATGTAAGTACTGCACTTGGGTAGTAAGTATTGAGATGCGGTGAACATCGTTCATTTACGTTTCATAACACGGTGATAAAATAAATAACACCAAACGGTAGCACGGATTCGGAAAAGTCCGGTCCGGTTCGAATTAGTTTCATCATTCGTACAATTTACCGTGCTAACATTGTAATTTGTTTTTGAATTAGCTTACATTCAAAAATCGTACGTACCCTCTGAAAATATGACCTCTTGGCAATTTGGCCCATAGCGCGTCCGTTAATCTCATTTTGAAAGCGCAATGTACTGTGATTCGTTGGAAAAGTTCTATGGAGAAAAGGCGTTTCGCATCCGAACACGACGATGCTCTTGTTCTTCGAATTTCAATCGTATTCCACAAACGGTGCACATGTGACGTGATTGGAACGATCAGTAGCACGCCAGTGCACTTCCCTATATCGCCCGTGATACATTATTATTCTCTAAGTGTCGCCTGATAACAATATTGACCGCTGAAGCGCTAGTTGTGCGTTCGCCTAACGAGCTCTCAAATATCAATGGAAATACGACTCACAAACCACGGGAATAGAATGCGGTCCGATCATAGACAATTATATATGTGACTAATTCATTGTTCAATAATTTAATATTTTACATTTTTATTATTTTAGATTTTCAGGTTCATTGTTTACTCACTTCTCACGTGTTTTTTTCTTTTTATTGCTATACCACTTTACATCTTTACCCAACAATCAACATGCCCGGGCATCGGTGTATTGTTCCTGCATGCACATCGGGATATGATTCTTGCGTTGACAAATATCATTTTTTTACAGTCCCTAAAGATGGTACTAGACTTGCCCAATGGATAAAAGCTATACCCAGAAAGGATTTTATAATAAAACCCAAACAAGTAGTCTGTGAGAAGCTAACATAATAAGGAAAAAAATTATGACTGATACTAGTGGAAAAGTCCTTGCTGAGGTGAGTAATTAATAAGTATCTTAATATATTTTATTTTTATGAATAAATTTAGAAATGGGATTCAATTATTGATTGAATTATTTTTTCATAACAGTTAGTTATAATAGTTATGTATTATAAGATTATGGTAATGGGGTACAGCTTATAACAAAGACCAACTACTAAAAACTTTTTTAATATATAATATTTATAGAAAGTTTTTACTACACACCAGTAGTGCAATCAGGAAATTTTCATGAGGGTGTCTGACAAAATAAACCATCTTAATTTATAATATATATATATCTAGAATATGATATTAATTTACTATTATACATGCCAAGAGGGGGGTCCAGACCTGGAGTCCACCCCCTGGTTGCGCCACTGCTACACACACGCACATATGTACCTATATAGACATTTTTTAGTAGCTGAAGTCCCTATTCATTATCTTACATTTTTGTTTGTTGTAGGGATTGTATAAAATACCTAGACTACACAAAGAAGCAGTCCCTTGTATTTTTCCAAACTGTAAAAAATATCTGACTAAACAACTGAAACTAAGAAAAGCACCTAACTACGAAACAGTCCAATAAGAAGGAAAATAATAACTCTTGATACTTTAAATCCATCAATTATAGATCTGCCTGAATACATTGAATGTTTTGATAACAACAAACCTAACACACAAAATGATTTTAAATTCTTTTCTTTTTGGACTCTACAAGAAAATTTTAATAGTATAATTCTTCCTACAGCATGGAGTAGACACGATATACCTGAAAAATTGATCATGTTTTCTTGTTACACAATTATAAAAGAAGAAACTGAGATGCCTACTCCTATTATTTTGAAAAGAGTTTGTTTGAATACTGATTTAAAGGTGACGTGTTCAGTGTTAGGTAAAGACATTTCTGAAAACATTTTTGGCTTAGCAGAAATAAATAATATTTGAGTTTTGGAAGACCTTTTAAAGAAATTTGATAATTCTAAAATTTGTAAAGGGTACAAAATAAATTCATATTTAAAGTCCCAAAACTCTTATATTGATCCAGTTGGAAATCTTCGACACGTTATGTGCAAATTTATTTTAGAAGAAAAAGATATATGCCAGTACTGTACATGTGCTATACGAAGTTTAAATTGTAAAATACTTCGGTTATCCAAAAATACCAAAACAACTTCTGAAAGAATTAATACTACCCTTAGTCGAAGAAAACAATCACAAATAAAACGATTACAAATGAAGTATAAATTAGTCAGGCAGAAGAAAATTTGAGCTGAAACACTGAACAAAAACTAAAAAATTATATTTCTTATCTACACGACAAAATGTCAGCACTCTCTTCAATAAACCTTGAATATAGATTAGACAAAAATGTACCATTTAATCAGCGTATTTTCTTAACCGAAATTGTTTCTGCTTCAAATATTAAAAATAAAAAAGGT